TTGCTGCCTAATATTTTTGTGGAAACTGTGATAAAAAAATTTTTTGATTCTATGATTAATAGAAAGTTTAAAACAACAGCTTTCATTTGAAATAGAAAGTTTGTGTTAAAGTCTTTATCATCACTTTTGGTCAATTTAATCCATCCTTGCTGAAAAAAAAAGTGTTGATTTCTTTTCTTTCTTTCTTTTTCTTACTGACCCCAAACTTTTGAACGGTAGTGTACATTTTGTTTTTTTCATCACACAAAACTATTGTAGGGCTTCGGAACACTTGGAATATAGCACATGACTCCTTTGGACTATATTTATAGTGCTATATTTGTCATTTCTGAGCTTGGCACTCCCTGTTCATCATTCACTGACATTGCATGTAAAAGAGAACCATGAACATTCTTCAAAATTTCTTTTTTGTGTTGCACAGAAAGAAAATTTGGAAGGACATGAGCATGAGTAAACAATGACACCTTTCATTTTTGGGCGAACTATTCCTTTCATCAAAACCACAAAGCTGCAAAAACTTTCAATAAAGCAATACACATATAATTGCACCATTGCAAAAATAAATTTTCTTCTCACAAATAGACATACCCTACCTGCTTTCCATCCTGGTGTATGATAAAGTGATCAGACACTCATTTCTAGACTCCAAGCACTACATATACATCCACAATAGGTATGAATAACAATCACAAGATGCCCGAAACTGGCCAAGAGAGCGGCGGAAGGCACGGAAAGTGGACCATTCACACAGTTGCATGTTTCTTCTATTAAACATCAGAAAATCACCACAATCTAACAACAGAAAACCCAGGCACACAGTCTCCATCTCCGCTTGTCCTAGCTCTGAGTGCACAAGTCACACACACACACACACACACACACACACACACACACGGTGTCGGCAGCGCCCCTTCTTTCTCTCTGACTGCATAGATGATGTAGTGTTTGTTATATCGGTGTCCATGTGTGAGTTAGCAATCACTATGTGTCTGTTTGCGTTGAGTGTATGGACTTTGTATATGGACTGCTTAGTGTTAATGTGAGAATGTTTGTGTGTTAGACGATATGTTGATCAGTCTTTTCTAACACAGCTGCTGAACAATACACTGCAATGCACAGGCTCTCTTTATCCTTTATACACACACACACACACACACACACACACATTGAGGGCACAGGCTCTCTTTATCCTCTCCTACTGAGACTTTGCGTGAGAGTGTGTGTGTGTGTGTGCCAGTATATAAGAGAGAGACAGAGGGATGGAGAGAAAGAGAGTGAGAAAAACACTTTCTTGGGGTGGTACTGCCACTACACATTGACAAGCACACAGACCCTAGATATTATATTAGTGAGAACTAGTGAGAAACACAATGGTTTTTATACTAAAATAATCCTATATCCTAAACCTAACCCTCACAGAAACCAATTTACATTAGAGTTGTCAATTATAAGCCTTTCAAAAAGTGAAAACCAGTTCAAATATCCTCAGATCAGTTTCAACAAGTTTTACTATATTTGTGAGGACGTTTTCAAACATTTGGCCCTCATATGTGAAGCCAAACCCGTACACACACACACACACACACACACATTTAACTAATAGTGATACAGTTTTAAAAAGCAAAGAACAATGACTCATAATAAATTAGCCTTTATGACACATCCTTATTGGGACTTTCCTGATACTTCAGGTCACATGAACAGCAACTGCGGTGTCATATGATCACTGTAGTACACACATATACACACTGATTTTCAGATAGAACCATTTCAGATGGGTTGACTGAAATCTGTCAACACTCATTCACAAGTTTTACATATCCACCATTCCTTGCATGTTTGATGATTGTAAATATTTAGACTAATGTGATAATGCTTTTACTCACCACTAAGTGTAGAAAAATGCTAGTGCTATTTAACTCATTTACCATTTTTACATTATTGCTCCCTCCAAAAATCATTCAGTGTAGAATTAATGTATATAAATTATGAATATAGATATAAGCATAATTATAAATTAGATTTTATGAATACATATTATGAAAATAATATAAAAAATGAACAAATATTTTATTTATATTTAAAAAAAATATGCATTCAATTACAAATTATATATATTTATATGTACTTGATTTAAGGCTGCTCTGATGCTGCATTTTATTTAGACAGAAGCAATGCAGCATCATAACTCTGATATTAGTGGCTAAGGTGGGTCAGAGCTGCATATTGTAGTACATATTTTATTTTTGTTAATTTTTAACACAGAAGTTGAAAAGGTCACAGAGTCTGCTCAAAGCAGCCTTAAAGGGGTCCTATTATGCTCTTTTACAAAGTCTTGATTTTGTTTTGGGGGTGTACTAGAACAGGCTCTCATACTAGGTTGTTTGAAAAACACATTATTTTTCACAGAAAGGGTCCAGTATGTTGCATTAATGCTTAAAACGCATGTTAGCCAATTGCTAATGTATTGTATAAAATCATGCAAATTATTTGGCTGCAAACTTAATTGCAGGTGTAGTTTAAGTAGCTCAACTAAAAGCAACAGATGGCTTTTCATTTACATGCAAGCATTACTATATTCTGGTCTCACTGAAAAACTTGAAGTGGGAACTTGAAGGATTCGCCATCAAGAACTTACAATTTTTTTTTTTACTTGCACACTTAACATTTCATTTTACAATTTCTATATCAATTTCACTGCCTGTCATTCCCAATGTTTACTCCTGACATGAGACAAGTAGTGTCAGTAAACCACTTGACTCTCTCCCGTAAAACCCCTCTTGACCCACTCCGACTAGAAAGACACAGCAGAAGCCATAAATGCAGAATAGATGTACTCTCAAACAAATACCTGTCAAAACTTGAAAGTATAAACGCACTGAAAGAGTTACATAACACATGGACTTGGGCTCAGCTAACTGGACGCGCGCTACGCAGAACTGTGTGTGTGTGTGTCCACAACACCATTAACACACATAGATCAAATAACACTACGGCCTGCAAGGGATGACACAATAAATTGGCGATCATAAACTCGCACATATTTGCACCACCTACTGCAGAAAAAACAGCTGTGTGCCGCGGAGAGGTCAGTTTATAGTGTCATATAAAGCGCGTTTATATCCACAGGTGCAGTATTTGCTCGTGCTAACGGTCTTACCACTGCTCCGCTGCCGTCGAGCAGTCCCGTGCGTTGCCGTTATCGTTACCGACGGCTCTCTTGCTGAAGAGCTTCTGCAGCAGCGTCGGCATGCTCGCGGCCTCGCGCGCTGTTTTTCACAAACACACAATCTGGGATTCCCGTTTCCCCATCAGCGCGAGCGAGCGCTCAGGTCTGCAGAGCTCCATGCTGGAGTCATGTGACATCTGCAGCAGCTGAGCTCTCTGCTGAGGGGACACAGGCTGCACGTGCGGAACGTGCCTGGGGTTTTCTTTCCTTCCTTCGTTTTGGTCATTTCCACACATAGATCAGCTGTTTGCATTAAAAATACATAGCATTCGGTTTAATAAATTTAGTGGATGATATCAATATAGGATGTGGTTTAAGTATAGCCTGTTCAAATGTAGCCTAATAATGAATCATATTGTTCTCTTTTTGAATAAAAAAATTGAAGTATAATTAACCCTTGTAATTACAAAATATATTAATGAAACGGTGAATTAATTAATAAAAAGCTAGCTAAAATAAAAATGAAAATAAATAAAAAAGAAAGAGTGAAATGGGGAAAATTAACGTTAAAAAGCTAAATTGTTTTTATTGAGGTATATTAAATTATACTGAATGTACAAAATTCAATATGGAAGAAATATAAAATAGTCATTTGTATTAAAAGCAAAAGACGATTGTACAGTTGGAAAATTTTACAAATTAGCATTTTGATCAGTTTTATTTGATCAATTAATTCTCTATTCAGTTTTATTGATTAATTACATAAATATATAACATTCGATTTGAATTAAGTAGATGATATCAATAGAGAATATGGTTTAAATATGTTATTTTCTTCAATACATTGAATATATATTGTTCTCTCTCTGAAAAAATTGAATTATAATCCTTCTAATTATCCTTCTAAAAAATATTAAAGAAATTAAAAAAATTATAATAATAAAATTAAATAGAAAATAGAAATTCAAAAGAGAAAGAGTGAAATAGGGGGGAAAATTCCAGATTAAAAGCTAAATTGTTTTTTTATTGACAACAGGTATATTTAATTATACTGAATACACAAAATGCAATATGGAAGAAATAAAAAATAGTCATTTGTATCAAAAGCAAAAGATGATTGTACAGTTGCAAAATTTTACAAATAAGCATTTTGATCAGTTTAATTTAAGTTTAATTTACATTTTCAATTTAAATTAAGTAGATAATATCAATAGAGAATATGGTTTAAATATTTTTTTTCAATACATTGAATACATATTGTTCTCTCTCTGAAAAAAAAAAACCCCTTGCTACGTGTACTGCGTTAGACTAACCGAGACTTGTCATTTGCACTTATATATTGTTGCTCTTTTGTTAGTTTTGACTGCTTCTATTGTCCTCATTTGTAAGTCGCTTTGGATAAAAGCATCTGCTAAATGACTAAATGTAAATGTAAAAATGGAATTATAATCCTTCTAACTAGAAAATACATTAATGAAAAAAATATGAAAGGAAATTCAAATATAAAAGAAATTTAAAAAAATAAATTAAATAGAAAAGAGAGATTCAAAAAACAAAAAACAGTGAAATGGCTTTTTATTAAAAGCTAAATTGTTTTTTATTGACAACAGGTATATTGAATTATATTGAATATGCAAAATGCAGTATAAAAATTATATTAAACAGTCATTTGTATCAAAAACAAAATTGATTGTTCTTGTTTCCACTGTCATAAAGTAATTGTACAAGTCTGTAAGAAATACATTACAAAAAAATTATAAAACATTATTTTCTGACAGTTTAATCGTGTGAATTATGACATGATACATATACAAGCGGAACTGCTGACTAATGTCTATGATACACGGAACAAAAATACCGTCGAACTGTCTCAGCGGTCCGTGCCTTAAATCTTCCCCCAACTAGTCACACGTGTGACAGACATTCACTTATATCAGCAAATATGGTAAATCGTGGTTAAAAACTTTATTTAATTAAGAATTACTTTTGAATGGCGTGTTTAATAATTCATATTCTCACTTCAGCCGAAGGCAGCCAAAGGGAAGGGACAGGTGGAGAAGAAGGCTATTCACCCATACAGCAGGAAAGCTGCATATTTAGCAAGCGCTGCCATCAAACAACAGAGGAAAGAAAAGTAAGATTCGTTTCTGCTCCACTTTTATATTTATTAATGTCCTTTAAAGGGAAATAAATAAGGTTTTGGTTTGCCACTGTTACGTTTTTTATGCGTTATACTTTTATGTGTTTTTATTACACCTGTAAATGTAGTATTTGTAAAATCACTTTTAGGTTAAAAGGTGAAAAGGCACAGCGTCTAAATTTGATTGGTGAGTAGTTTATTTTTATTTTGTACTGCCTTTGTGTAAACAAGGAATTTGAAAGCTTGTTTGTTGACTGGTTTGTGAAAGTTGACATTGGATATTTGGCAGTATACCAATGTGTTATACACCAGCTAACAAAAATATGTTTTGCTAACGTTCCCATTAAATTATTAAAACGTTATTTGGATGCGTTTTTAACGTTTTAAAACCGTTTTTCTTGTTTGTTTGTTTTTTTGGAACATTACAGAAAATATTAATTGAATATTCCGTTTTATTTGTTTTGCAAACACTATGGGAATGTTACTTATGAATGTTCTGTTGTCCTCTGAATAATCTGAAACTAGTTAGTAACGTTTGATGAACATCCCACAACATTTTTGTGATAACGTTTTAAGAACATTATTAAAGACCGTTTAGCATTGAACAAATATTCTATGAGCTTTACTGGTGGAATGTTTGTTCATAACTTTGAGAGAACCTTACCACAATGCTAGCCAAAGTTCTGGGAATGTTCCCTGTTCGCTGCTTACTTGTCTTCTCTTATTTTCTGCAGGTGAAAAACTTTTGTGGTTCCAAAGCCAGCTGGACCCTGACAAAGCAGAATACACTAAACATGATGCTTGTGAAATAATTGAGAGGTATGACAAGCCCCAAACAAACATGTCGTTATGACTTGTAAAGTTCTGCATACATAGCACTGTCTTGAAATGTTGAAAATCTGTATATTGAGAATAATAAAAACAGGCATCTTGGCTCATATCCTCTTTCGCAGGTACCTTCACCGGTTTGACAGAGAGCTGGAGCAAATTGAGTTAGCAAACAGTATCAAAGGACGACAGGGTCGTCAGCATGGCTCTAGAGAGGCTGTCATCAAACAAACAATAGAACGAGAGAGAGCTCAGTATGAAGGCAATGGCTTTGGTATGTTTCCTATACTTGCATTAACTTTTGTATGGGTCTCTTTTATCTTTATTTGTTTCCTGCCATATAAGAGGTTTATGTGATAAGTGTTAAGAATGCATGAATAAAATGTATCCTGCAATAATTAGACACTATTTCTGAGAATGTAAACGTCTGTCTGGAATGACTGAGACAGACTAAATCCAGAAGAACTGTGGCAACATCTCCAAAATGCTTCAAGAGATCTACCTGCAAAGCTTCCTGAAAAACTATGCGCAAGTGCACCTAGGGCAAAAGCTGCCACATTTCTTCTGGATTTAGTCTGTCTCAGTTTGTTCTGTTTCTTCATGTCATTGCAGACAGACTAGATGATGATGATGAGATGAAAGCTCTGTGTGGAGCACTGGCTGTTGTCAGACTCCTTGTGCAAACAAAAATCTCACTGGATTATTACAATTAATGGCAAAAATTCATGTTTGGAAATATAAACTGATATTTCCTACTGACACACTACAGCAAAAGATAGAAATAACTAAATAATATATATAGAAAGGCTAATTATGCTTCTCCCTTGTTACATTTAGGCAACATGTTCTAGATGGTTTAATGTTGTCTGTCTGTCTTCACTTTACAGAAATCCCTGATATCATCAATTCTAAGCATCTGAAAATATTTAGGTAATTACTACATAAAAGCATGTTAACACTCTTTATAGCAAGTCATCAAATTCAAAGAATTTCTGGCACAGAACTATGTAAAGTCCAACCCTAATCCTAACATAATGGCACATTTTTCTAACATTGAGCCACATTCGTTTAACAGAGAGTGGACTGGTGACCTCAAGAAACTCCCCAACATTAAGATGAGAAAGGTTTCAGCCAAAGGCTCTGACAGCGCACCGTCTGCAGTTTCACAAGATAAACACATGGGAGAAGAGAATAAGGAAGATGCATCTCTGAATTCTGACACAGACCTATAGTACTGTGAAATCCTGCAGCTCTACTACAGTAAAGTTTACTGTAGAGGAAAAGGACCAGAGTGTATTGGGCCGCTTGCAAAAATGTGTTGTTGTAAGGAAGGAGGTTACTTAGTCACTCAGGTAGCACAGTATTATTAATCCATAAATAAACAGAGACTTTGAAACAGTTTGATACATTCACTGGTTTATTGCACTGACTGATGTTTGCATGTTTCTTTGATGATGTGCATTTGAATTGTGAACAATCATGTTGATCACCAAATCTCACTTGATCCTGGCATGGCCCTATGGGCATTTTTTATTTATTATTTTCATATATCAAGATATATGAAGTCACTGCAGAAAATCACAATACAAAAAAAATGTAAAATTTGCTGAATTCTTTCTGATTACCACTCAGCAAAACCTGATCACCTCCAAACCTGCAAATTAACAAATCTCTGTCTTAGAAATAAACAAACACTATTCTCCATAAACCCTTTAAAACATACATCCTTAGAAGCTGCATAAGTTTTTTTTTTAAATGAAAAAAAAAATCCAGTCCTTCATGCCATAAAGCATGGAGGAAAACAAATCCTGGTTACCATAGTTATCCATTCATTTCTTATTGATTTAGCTATTTTAAATAGATATGCCAATTTTTTTTAAACAAGTCAGATTCAGTAAGAATGGGTAACACTTTATTTTACATTGTCCTTGTTACATGTACTTACTATAGTAATAACAGTAAATTACTGATATATTGATAATTAACTTAAAATATAAATAAGAACACCTTAAAATAAAGTGTAACCCAAGAATGTTTGTCTCATATCATTGTCACTATATTGCTTGTATCCACTGAATCCTTATATATATATATAATATATATATATTTCACATACACATCACAGCCACCATATCTATCTGAAATCTCATTATAACGCATTGAAATAAAAAGGTGAAATTATGATAACCAAGATATGGCTGTATGGTGTTTTCCTTGCCAACTGTAAACGAACTATAAACTAAAAAACTTTTTACAGATCACTGAAAACAAAGTAATTGATGTTAACATGATTAAAGAATACAAGCTATTTACCAGTGCTTGTCTGATTCCTAGTTTGTAACACTTGTATCTTTGGTTTCTTGAAGACTTTCAATGCAATTAATTCTATTCATTTGTAAGGTGACTCTCCTCATCTTTACCTGACCCAAGAGTTTAAGAGATTGAGGAAAAGACAGCTGGGGTGAAAGCCAAAGCTATAGAGGATTGGCTTCCTTGACTTGAATAATCACTGCTGTAACGGCCATGTTCCCCTCTGGTCCCGTCACATTCAGATGTCACTGAGTTCTTGCTAATCTACGGAGTAGGAGAGAACAGCTAAACCACTTCAGAACAGGTTATAAGAATTTTTACCTTATTTTGCTTAGATCTAACAAGTAATAAATATACAGTATGTAGGCTATAGAACAGGGCTGCCAATCGATTAAGGCAAGACACCCCAGGTGAATAGGATAACACAATTAAAGGATTAGTTCTTCCCAAAATACAAATTTGCAGAAAATCTACTCATTATCAGGCCATCTGATAATGATGAGTTTGTTTCTTCATCAAAACGGATTTGGAGAAATTTAGCAGCTTTTATCAGCTGTTTGGACTCTCATTCTGATGGCACCCATTCACTGCAGAGGATCCACTGCTGAGCAAGAGATGTAATGCTAAATAAATCTGTTCCGATAAAGAAACAAATTAATCTACATCTTGAATAGCCCGAGAGTGACTACATTTTCATTTTTGGGTTGCTATTCTTTCAACTAACAGTTATCACCAAACGTCCCGTTGATTGTTTACATAAAAAAATTTCAAACTGTTTTGGATTTTTAGTTTAGATACATTATTTCCCAGAGGTCTCAATCAAGAAATTGATTATGGTATGTTTTACTAACTCTGTTTTTTTCTTTTTCTTCTTCTTCTTTAACTTGTTTGGAAGCCACTCCCCTAATTGGCAGTGACACACCTGTTGCTGATTACAAGAATGTTAAAGCATGGTTTGGTATTGCTGTTCTTGATATCTGATGAAAGCCTGGATAATGACCGAAACGTCATTTTAATAAAGTTTTCAAGAGTGAGTGCTGCACCTTTTTCAATTGACATGGCTTTTTGATTTTTGATTGCACCTCCTCTATCGTTGGTAAAGCACCTCCTCTCAGTAATTTTTGTATAAACTGTTTTGTATTACAAGTGTTCTGAAATGTTATGTTTTAAATACAAATGTAACTAAATGTGCACTAATTTACAGAATAGAAAACTAAACATTAGATAAAGCCAGGTTTAAAATTCTTGTTTCATTTTGTTGACATGTTACTCAAAGATTTGTACAGGGGGGATTTTGAATATCTCTTTTTATCACTTCATAAATCAGAAAATACTGTCAACAGTCAGAAAATAATAAGTTTTTAACCATGTTTTTAGGAATAAAATATTGTATAAATACAGGCAAATGATACATGAACAAACCCCTCAGTAAAATCCTTCAGAATATATATATTAGTTTGGTGTATTAAAAAACTCTTTTTCAGAAAAGGCCTTTAAAGATATGTATTGTAATTGAAAGTGCAATAAACACTTAAATGGGTATTTTGGATGTTCCACTACTCTGAAACATTATGGAAAGCCAAATAGCCCAAAATCTCAACATTGACCAGTGCTTGAAAAATGTTTTCGCCTGTAGTGTCTTTGCCTTTTTAATTGACTTAATGATATGACTGCAGACTCGCAAAATAACATGAAGGTTGTTTAAGCTTAAATGGCTCAGATAATAGGGAAATCCCTTATTACACTATTTAAGAATGGATCAAGGGTATGATTACATGTGATAATGTTTTTACACCTTGTTTTGTATATAGTAAATTGCTCACAATTAAAAGAATGGTTTACCCCAAAATGAGGATTTTGTCATCATTTACTCACCCTCATGTCGTTGCAAACCTGTAGTTTCTTTCTTATGTTGAACACAAAAGAAGATATTTTGAAGAATGCTGGTAATCAAACAGTTAATAGCCCCCATTGACTTCTATAGTATTTTATCCCTACTATGGAAGTCAATGGTGGCCAACAACTGTTTGATTACCAGCATTCTTCAAAATATCTTCTTTTGTGTTCAACATAAGAAAGAAACTTATCCAGGTTTGGAATGACACGAGGGTGAGTAAATGATGACAAAATCTTTATTTTGGGCTGAGCTATTCCTTTAATGTTATAATTTAACAGCCCTATATAAACGTCTTATATAAGTTTACCCATCCTCTAATAAAAATTTAAAAAGTGCTTTTGTTATATGTAAATCACATCACTTTGGTCAAATACACCAGAAGCCCTTTCCTAAATTTTTCAGCAACTGAGATTCAGAGCAGCAAGCTTCCATCGTCAAACAGGGGCCATTTCCACTCCTGTGTTTGTTTGTGTCTGAGGAGCGGAAGCCTCCGCTGTCCCGTGCGTGCCGTTGCTCTGGGTGACTGGGGGTGGCCTGTTCTCTCCGTTACGGACGGTGTCGGGGCAGTTCTGTACAAAGATGATCCTGTTGAAAGCCTTCAGCCTCCTCCAGAGCTGCAGGTAGACTTTGCACTGAATGTACATGAAGATGAGTCCTCCAGAAAAGCCAACCGCCACCACGATGAGCTTGGTCCAGAATGGCCAATCCAGCACCCCTACGGCATTGAGAGGGGACAAACGCACCAACGCTGTGTGTGCAATGACAGCATGGCATGGAATTACAGCACTATATTATATTATCTTACAGCTACTCTGAAGTTGAATTACTTCTCACACGGCTATACTGTTCCAAAATTACAGTAGCCTACTACATCATTGCATTAAAAGCTGCAGTAAATCATTTTTTGTTTCTCTTATTTGTCCCAGTTGTCTTGGACTTTATATTGATACTTACTGGTCTAGATGAATTCATTCTTTGTTTATCGCTGCTGCTTCACATTAAATAGCTGTTCCGTTTTTTAGTTTTATGAGACTTTATGAGTTTTATTCTAGATCAAAATACATGCAGTCAAATTGCACCTAAAATATAAATTCTGCTACTAGTTGCTATAGTGTAAATTAATCCATGTTTAAAAACAGGGCACCCATGGTAAAATAGTCTACCAAGTCAGCCTACAAACTGAGGTCATGACTGAACAGCTCTTTACATGAGCATTTACCAAAAAAGAACAATCTTGGATTCTATGCAAATAAAATTCTATTCAATTTTTGGTGCACTTGAAAGGAAGTATGAAAATGATTATAGTAATATTTGAAGGTAAACAATAAGTTAAGCTCAGATCAGGGTTAACTAAAACCAGAAAATTTTTTTACTTGAAATAAAATAGATGTTAACAAAAATAACATAAAAACCCACATAAAACTAATTCAAAATATTAAGCAAAACTATATTAGTGTCTCATTAAAATAAAACTGGCTTAGATGCTGACCAACTTAACATTCTTAACTTGAATGCAACTTGTGTATTTTAACTTAAAATAGCAAGACATAGCAGATCATGTGATCTTAAAATGGCAGCAACTAGCTAATAAATATATATTTTTAATATTTAATGTTATTATATTATCTAGTATTTATTCATATTTCAAATTAGTTTTTATTTTTACATTTTAAATGTTAATATTAATTGTAGTAATTTTGTTATGTGCTTTTGTCATTTTTATTAGTTTTGTTTTTCAAATATTTCTATATAACTTGAATTTATTTTTGTTTCAGTTTTAGTCATTTTAACTGATGTTTACTTCAGCTTAGACTTAATTCAGTTAGATGCCAAGGCAAAATTTCAATTTTTTTCATCTAATATTTATATTTTATTTTGATTAAGCTTTATTTATATGACCAAAAAATTTTTTTAATAGTCTTTTTTTAGTTAACAATAACAAAACTAATAAATCTGGGTTGTGCTGTTCTGTTGTAAATAAATCTTAACCAATGATTCCTAATTGCATCTACTTCCGGAAGGCCAAATAAAGAGCTTTTGCTTTCGCACTGAAACACACACCGTCTCCCTGACATGGCTGCATCAACACTACTGCTGTTCCTGAAACCACGCCTTCTTTCTTTGCCTGCACATTTGGGCGGCATTATGCTAATATTTCCACATAGTGACATAGATATGTGGGGGCGTGTTAGAACGAGGTGTTTTAGGTAGGCGTGGCTGACTCTTAACTTTTATAAAGAATATCTCTTTGGATTTGAGACTTTAGTCTTTGCAACTTTACAGATCTTCTTTATGCACCAAGAGCTTGTAACACTCAAAAGAGAAAGGAAAAATTGAAATCGCATCATATGACCCCTTTAACATTAGCTTAATCAAAGCTACTTTACACGATACTGCATTATCCTGATTGTTCAATACAACATTCAAGCATACTAAACTATGACATAATAACAGTGGATACTCTTGCAAACATTAAAACCGATGCATAAATATAGGCTACTGTGTTAGTGTGTTTACCATTGTTCTTGCCTTGGTGGATCTCTTCAGCTGTGCGGTCAATCAGAACGTAGAGTGACCAGATGACACACACCACAGCAGCCAGGTGAAAAGTCACAGAACAGAAGATCTTCCGCCGCTCGCTTCTA